CAGCACCATCAAGTTGGAGGAGTCCCGCCCCTAATGGCCAGAGATGACTCCACAACCGACAGTGAGCCAGAAGAATACGTTGACTGGGGGCAATTCGCCGTTGATTTCCTTGGAGGAGTCCCGCTTTATGCGGAAGAGTGGAGGCGAGATGAGACATCATCAGAAGAGAGCTACCACTCCGGCTACGGCTATGATCAGCTTGACGAGGGAGGTCCAGATGGTGTAAGCATCGGGTCTGACCTCGTCCTACAGCGGTACAGTGACACCCATAACATTCTTGTGAGTCGTTCTGCCTTCCCTGACACTTCCTTCAACACAGATCCATCTGAAGGAGTGATCTCTCGGAATTGTCAAGACGATACCCAGAGCTGCTGTTCCGACTACAGCTCGGATACAGAGAATGAGTTTCGTTGCTTGTACCGTGGACCCAGCCGGCGTCAGCAAGAAAACCAGCAAGGCAACTGCTATGAAGACTACCAGCATCATCAAGTTGCGTTTGAGTTTACAGGAGTGGCAGATGCCGAACTCACAGGAGTCGCCGAGCCTAATCTTACAGGAGTGTTGGTCAAGAACCTCATTCCTGATGGAGCCAACACCGTGTATCTCGACAGTGGCAGTTCAATCCGAACTGTCATGAACCAGGACATGATTGTCCACAAGCGGCTACCCCCCAGACCAATCGAGATGGCCACCAACGTTGGCAGCACCAAGCTTACCCAAGAAGGTGACACCCCTTACGGAAACGGCTATGCCAATCCAGGAGGCATTGCCAACATCAACGCTTTGTCTCTTGTTGTGGATGACTGCGTCAGGGCACAGGATGGATCCTATGTCCTCATGGATTCAAGAGTCGACGACGCCATCTACCACTACCGCCCAAATGGGATTCACACCAGGCATGGAAGGACCGCCAAAGGTCTGTATGGAGTGCTGATTGAGCAAGACCTACTGGATCACATGGCCCAACTCAACCAGTTTGAGCCGGAGTTCCAACATTTGGCTCAGACGGTAAAGGGCAACCTTGAACGCTTTACCAAGAAGTAAGCCAAGGGTGCATTTCTCGCAAGAAATCTGTACCACAACCTCCAGCGTCCGCCTTTGGAGGGCTACCGCAACATGATCAGGACTGTACAAATCAGAGACTGTCCTGTCAAGCTGGAGGACATCGATCGTGCCGAATTAATTTTTGGCAGCGACATGGGCAAGGCCAAGGGCTCTACTACACGCAGGCGCCCACCACCAGTGACCGCCAGTATCCATACTGTTCCGGATGAGCTGATGGCACCCCACAGGTTCTTGACCGGATGCATGGATGTGTTTTATGTTTGTGAAATTGCCTTTCTAGCATTCACCGACTTGCAGATCCGCCACAGAGAATCAGCCTACCTGACCAATCGGAAAGGTAAATCATTCTATGCTGCCATTGACAAAATCTTTGATCGGTACGGGAACAATGATTTCAAGATCAAAGAAATCCAGTGCGACCTGGAGTTCAAGAGCCTGATGGATCCTGTCAAGAACGACATGGAGCTCAAGCTCAACCATGGAGCGGCTCAGACTCACAGTGGTCCCGCGGAGCGCAACATCCGAACCTTGAAGGAGCGCATCCGCGCCGCCTGGCATGCTACACCGTTTCTGGTGATGCCAAAGGTGATGATTGTGGAATTGGTCTATGATGTCAATTGTAAACTCAACCTTTTCCCAGCGCTTGATGGAAGTTCCAAAGTATATCCTCCCAGGCAGATCTTGGAGGGTCGGACAACCAGCTACAAAGATATCCAGTACACTTTTGGGAGCTATTGTCTTGCTTCCAACGAACCAGACAAGCTCAATTCCATGGAGCCCCGGTGATTGGATTGCATCTATCTCCGTCCATTGATGGACAACCACCAAGGAGGGCACAGTGTGATGGATCTTGTCACCTTTGAAGTCATCACGCGCCAGCATGTTCGTATTCTGCCGATGCCTCGCTCAGTCATTGATGCTGTCGAAAAGAAGGCATACGATGAGGGCAAGAAACCTCTAATCTTTCACAACTGTGACCTTGTGGAATTTTTGCCTGTAGGTTTGCCTGCAGGAGTGGATGGTGACAATAATGGAAATGAGAGCTACCTCCAAGTCTATGGAGACTCTTCGGACGATGAATCAGTGGAATCCAAAGAATCAGATGAAGATTCTGAGGATGGGAATGCCCCAGGGCTAGTACCAAGGGCATCCAAACAGTATGCCACAGATATTGACTCCGATGAAGAAGGAGAAGAGGGATTCCAAGGAATCCCAACAAGTACAAGTCCAGCCAACCCTATAGTTGAAGAGACGGCACCACCAGTGGATACCATCAATGATGGAAACCTCGCTGGGCCAGACAAAGCTTCCAAGCTTCCCAGAGTTGGAATTCGACGATCAGCTCGGATTGCCACAGCTGAAGCAAACAAGAAAGGAGTAACCTTCATCCAAGATGATGAAGTGAATCAGCCACTTCTTTACGAGACTGAAACAAGCAAGCACTTGGCATTGTTCATGGACTCCTGTAATCACAGGAGTGCCACAGCAGAAGTCAATGATGAGAGCAGCCATGCCCAACAACATCTCCTACCCAAGGGTCTGAAAGTATGGGGCACCAAAGCAAGAGAGGCAGCACTCAAAGAGATGGACCAGCTCCACAGCCGAGTATGTTTCAGCCCAATTGACCCGAACCAGTGCAGTGAATCTGAATTGAAGAAAGCACAGATGGCACTCATGTTCGTTACTGAGAAAAGAGATGGCACTGTCAAGGCCATAGCTGTCTACAATGGGAAGCCAACAAGAGTGTACCACCAGAAGGAGGACGCCAGAAGTCCCACGGTTTCACTTGAGGGTTTGATGCTATCCATGTGTGTTGATGCCTCTGAAGACAGGGATGTCATGTCACTGGATGTTCCAAACACATTCATTCAGACTCCAATGCCAGTTGTCAAACCAGGTGAAGACAGGGTCCTCATGATTATTGAGGGAACCCTTGCAGACCTACTTGTGGAAATTGATCCTAACACCTATGCTTCATTCCTGACATATAAAAAGGGACGTCCTGTCCTCTATGTTGTCGTGGAGAGAGCCATTTATGGCATGGTTTTGGCGGCACTTCTTTGGTACAATAAGCTATTCAGAAGTGACCTCGAGCAAGTTGGATTTGTGTTCAACCCATACGATCCTTGTGTGGCCAACCGGATGATCGAAGGCTACCAACAAACAATCCGATTCCATGTTGACGATTTGATGTCAAGCCACAGAATGAAGTTGGTGAATGACCGGACTTTGGAATGGTTCAATGACAGGTATGGAACCTATGGAGCCGTAAAGGCAACCCGTGGTCCCAAGCATGACTACTTGGGGATGACAGTGGATTTTTCTGACCCAGGAAAGGTTGTGATTGACATGATAGACTATATCAAGAAAATGATCTCAGAGTTTCCAGTGGACTTTGGGGCAATGAAAAAGGTACCAACTGCAGCTCCTGCTGACCTTTTCAGCTCTGGTGATGGAACCACCCTGAATGACAAAAACAGGGAGACTTATCATACCTTTGCAGCCAAGCTGTTGTTTCTGTGCAAGCGTGCTCGACCAGATGTGCAGACTCTCACTACTGTGTTATGCACTCGTGTCAAAAGCCCAACATCTGATGATTGGGACAAGTTGGTCTAAGGCCTCAAGTTTTTGGATCAGACTGTGGAGGACAAGTTGATCCTACACATTGATGACATACGTATCATCACTTGGTGGGTGGATGCATCATTTGCAGTCCATCCTGATTACCGTTCCCATACAGGAGGAGTCATGTCCTTTGGAAGTGGCGCGGTGTTGTCTGTGTCTGCGAAACAGAAAGTGAATTCGAGGAGCAGCACGGAAGCGGAATTGATTGGAGCTGACGATGTCATGTCGCCCATGTTGTGGGCAAAGTTGTTCCTTGAAGAGCAGGGGATCGTTGTGAAAGACAACATCCTCATGCAGGACAACAAAAGCACGATCATCCTTGCAGAGAATGGCAAAGGCAGTTCGGGCAAAAGGACTCAGGCCATCAACATTCGTTTCTTTTTTCATTCATGATCAAATTGGAAAAGGAAACCTCAGAGTTGTGTACTGCCCAACCTTGGAGATGCGTGGAGACTTTTTCACGAAGCCCCTTCAGGGCAAGCTCTTCCATGAGCACAGGGCTTTCATCATGGGGCATCCACCCCTTGTTTGATTTCCTAATTTATTTATTCATTCCATGGTAGCCACTTAGGGCACCGTGCAGGAGTGTGTTGGAGGAAATATACCTGACACCTCTTTACTATTGACTCGTGTATTAATCATCTAGTCCGGTTCGCATGCAAATTTATGATGCAAGGAACCAAGGGAGTTTTAGGTCTAAAGTGTTGCGGGGGTCCTTATATCCAATTCAATCACAAGAATTGCTATGCACCACCAGAAAATCCTCACTTTTGCTTTTCAGCTTAATCTAAAACCAAATTACTCCCCAATAAGCTGCAGTATTACTAGCAAACAACAGCTCTCTGATCCCGGAGTTCTTGCTTGAAGTGCTGCCACAATATCTTGTTCTGGAATTCCATTCTGCAAATAGTGAAGGGTGAGATCAACATTTCCATTTGCATAGGTTGAACACCACAGAATATCCGACAAACTAAATCCCATGCCTTCCAGATTGGCCATCACGTCAGGGTCGAGTTCTCCCTCCAGTTTTTGCTCTTCCTTCTCAGGAGAAGTTTCCATCTTCGACGAGTCGACGGAATCGCCATCCTCCGACGCAGAGCTATCGACTTTTGGTGGTGGGCTTCTCGGCTTAACAGACACCACACTGTCTGGATCTGTCGAGCTGTCTTCCATTGGATCCTCTTCTTCGCTGCTGCTGCTGCTGCTGCTGCTGCTGCTGCTGCTGCTGCTGCTGAGGTCTTGCGGGTTTCCAAAAGACAAATCTGATGTCACAAAGAACCATTGCTACTAGTTAGTGACAGGGTAGGAAACTAAAAATCTTCATCAAGCGACATACCACGCATCATGTCTGCAGCCTTCTTTGCTGCAGCGTTCCCGCTTCCCTTGAATGTCTCGCCGGAGTTCAAGTCGATCACCTTGTAGGACATTCTACAATTCCAACCAATCACCTCCTTGTCATTTTTGTCTTTGTCTCCAGTTTTGAATTTGATTACGAATTGGTCCCCTTCAAAGTACTTGGCACCATGATTAGTATCGCTTCGGAAAGGATCATTCGTAATCTTGGCACCATCGGGGAACTTCAACAGGAACTTCAACGTGTCTCGGGATTTGTCTCCTTTCATGGCCTCATTGGCTTTTCTGTGGCCCTTTTTGACAGCTTCCGCTTTCTCCGCTTTAAGGTATTGTGCTTGGTCCTTTCCATCAGGCTCGAAGACGCTGCTTCGTGATGGTTTCTCAAACAAGACGACATGTGGACTAGTATCCGGATTTGGAATGCTAAACTTGTAGCGGTCGTGCTTGAAGTGACGATAGTCACCCACAAAACTGATGTCATACCCATTGTATTCCTTTCCACGGTAATCAAATCCGGTGAATGTCACCACATCAACAATTAGGTTGTTCTCGGGACACTCGGTGTCCACCTCAATTGGAAAGGCGCCTGCATGCAAAGGAGAATGAAAAGACATCATGTTAAAGGGCCGGGGGATATCAAAGCATGGCTGGCAAATTGGCTTCCAGTTGTGGACAAAGCAATGAGGGATGAGCATGCACGTGAGCAGCCTTCCCAATCAGGGTAACTATGCGCCGGTGTGGGACTCCCATAGCAATAGCGGGCGATTTAGCCTCGCGTAGATAGTTAGTCGTACAGCACCCTCCAGAGTTTTGTTCAATTTCTCCGGTGGGGGGCTTACACTAGGCCCATCCTAAGTGGGCGCCCTCGCGCGCCTGAGGTATATGGGTTCGTCACAGCACCGTTCAGCGGATCGTCTGACGAGGTGTAGCCTTTAAAATAAAATTTCGTTATTTTTTTTAATGAAAAGACATCATGTTAAAATAAAACAGGTCACAAATAAAATCACAGACGACCAAGAAAGCAATGCATACCAATCGTTTTGTCGGATGCCTTGGACTTTCGTGAACGGCCACTGTGGACGCTGGCCATTTTGGCTGGTGTTGGGGTGATCTGATTTGGCGAATAAAAAAGCTTGCGAGCTGGATCAGGAGTTGGCTCTGGATCTTCTTCACTGTCAGAATACTGGTAGCCCGCGTCTCAGTAATTGGTGAAGTCAGCAGGAGCAGCAGGAGTTGGTGCCGGTACTGGTGGTACCTCCTTCTTGGAACGCGTGGATCTCTTACTCTGCGATTTTCCAGCAGCGACAGGCGTTTTCTTTTGCTTCTTCGATGATGATTGAGCGCTGGCCTTGCTGGATTTCGAGGCGCTCTTGCTCTTGGTCTTGCTTGCAGATTTTGATCCGGTCGCAGGAAGCTGTAACGATTCCCTTTCGCAGGCAGGTGCTACACCGAGGCTCTTGATCACTTTCTGGTACTCCTCGAGTGACAAACTATGCCACCACCGACACTTTGATCGCACCTGCTCTCGTCTGTGTGATCCGGACACGCCGTACGTATCTGTATTCTGCTCGCAGATGTCAAACAGAGGTTGATAACGCCCCGGAGTTGCCTTGTTTGCGCCTGCGTCGAAGAAAGCGTCGCGTCCACCTCTTGATTCAATTGCGTCCGCCAAAGTCTGCTGAATCCCCAACGCGAGCCCTCTCTTGTTTGTGCAAAGTGGATTCTTATTCCGAACGTTTCCACTACCAGGAACGCTTCCACTACCAGGAATAACGGGGGTCGCTGTCGATCCCTTCTCGTCCGATGAAGTGTCGTCAAGCGAGCTAACGTCGTCTTTGTCCGATTCCTCGTATGCCGTCCCATCCGAAGAATCCTCTTCGTGACCTGGCTCTCGCGCCAAGGGCACACCCACCTGCGAGACCGGCGGCGAGCTCTTGCTTCTGTTCCTGTTCCGCTCACTAATGCGCCTAATCCTACCAGTACGAGCGGCAGGTGTTGCAGCTTCGTCAAGCGCAGAGTCGTCTCTAGTCCTCATTGTGTCAGAATGGTGTGAGTGCGAATTCGGAGAGCAACTGCACCAAACCCACACTCTCTAGCATTGAATTTTTAAATTTTCCATAGAAAACTGTCTGTCCGTCACTCTATCCTGCTGAGGGCCGCTGCCTGTGTGGCTCAACGGCCACAGCACTTTTCGCACTTCGCGCGCTTCGCGCAAGGCGAATTCGCGCCAATGGCGCTCTTCGGAGGTCATTTCGACTATTACAGTAGTACAGTCGTACCGGTATCATTACGGTAGCTAGCTAGCACTTATCTATTAGCTCTAGTAGACAGTTACCACAGCACCACAAGAACCAACAGCATCCAAAGATGGCACCAAGAAAGAAGTGTGACCTAGCAAGGGCGAAACTGCAATGCCAAGCCAATTCTCTATTGCGATTCGCGCCAATGGCGCTCTTCGGAGGTCATTTCGACTATTACAGTAGTACAGTCGTACCGGTTCATTCGGTAGCTGCTAGCAGCTTATCTATTTGATCAGGTAGACGTTACACGCCACAAAACACGATAAAGATGGCACCCAGAAAGAAGAAGGATGACCTAGCAAGTGGCGAAACTGCATGCCAAGCCAATTCTCTATTGCGATTAGCTTGCTGGGTTGATTCCCATAGATAATGAAGTGATGAAAGCAAAGATGTCTTCTGAGCACTATCAAGACGAAAGCTGCTTTTGAAAAGGTCCCCTGGAAAAACTTGATTTATCCCACACAGACGCACAACGAACAGGGGCAGCTCCGTTGGCATGGTTTCGAAGCTGAAAAGTTGCTCGAAAAGGATGTTGAAGAAGAAAAGCACATCTCAGCAATGACAAAGATTGAACTCTACAATTCGCGACTAGAGTATCAACGCTTCAATTTGCTTACGTGTCTTCCGTGGCCATGTCTATCAAGAATTGAAGAAGAGAAAGTTTTTGGCCTATTGTAAGACAACCAAGAAAGGCAAGGAATATGGAGCCACGCAGGCTCTTTATCAACAAACGACGTGCTGAGCGAAGACGAACCAGTTCGTAGTGGTGCATCTATACTGTGTAGTTGCGATGTGAGGTTATATTGCAAGCGATTGGAGCGCAGAACAGCCTGCTGCCGCCGAGCAGCTGGACACGACTAGCAGAGGATTAGGTGAGTGGAAAGACTCGGCCATTTACAGAGCCGACCGTCTCCAGTCCCCGGGGTACCGTTCGGGACTGGGGAGTCCAGGATGGATCCCACACGGAAAAAGGGGGTCCCGGGAATGTGATTTTCCACGGGACAGCCTTGATTCGTGCAACCAGGGAGGGATAGGTGGGTTATCTAATCTAGGTCTTGCTTTCAGCGTCAAGCTGAAGGAAGAATTGTTAGCAGAGAAGGAGACAACTTTCTTGCGATCGGCAGTTCATGGCTGGTCTTGGCCAGGTCGCTGGCTTTAGTGATTCATGGTTTGCGCTGTCGATCTTGCCAATTGTGGTCTTGGACGGGCGTCGTTGACTTAAGGGTAATCTTGTTCAGGAGGCATTGAGGACTGATGCGGTGCATCTCATGTGGGGTATCATTTCCGGACGCAGGTGTATACCTGCGGATGTAGAGATGTTAATTGAGTTTGTAGGATTGAGGAGGCCGGAATTTAATTGCAATTGTGACGTGGATCCTCTCGGACCATGATTTGGGGTCACGTTGCGAGAACCCTCGGTTCAAGTTTCGACGCTGCGGGGTGTGGAAACTCGTACGGGGGGTTCCCCAGGCTTGTTGCTGCTCAACACCGAGCGTAGACAAGCTGCGCTCGCCTAGAGCAGCGCTGCACGACTAGTTGAGTGGTGTAGGGTGGTGGAGAGTCTCGGCCATTTACTGGGCTGACCGTCTCCAGTCCCCGTGGTACCATTCGGGACTGGTGAGTCGCGGATGAATCCCACACGGCAAAGGGAGTCCCGGGAATGTGATGTTACACAGGACAGCCTTGAGTCGTGCACCCAAACCAAAGGGTGTAGCGGGGTGGGAGAAGTTTCCCCCCTGTCCAGGTGTAGGAAAGGACAGGGGGGCGAGGACTAAATTAGGTTCTTCATGGAGAAGAATCTCATTGAAGTGTTTGTCGTCGGGTGGTGATCGTAGGTCATGGTCCAACATCTTGTAGTGGGTGGTGCCAGCGGCGATTCGAGGTGCGCAACATTTCGCGATCTGACCAATTCGCCTGTTGGCAATTCTGAATACTCCAGCGGCTGGACATATGTGGAGATTCTGTCGTTTGGAGAGGGCTCGGTGGAATGAACTTGGGCTTGCGGATCTTTCGGACGGGTTTAGTGTTTGTTACGGTGGGTCGCTGGTCCTCCAATGGAGTGTGGAGAGTGATGTGTGCAGAGCGGATGTGACGGACGAGAAGGACGAGAAATTTGACAGGACAAAGCCATGGGTCAGAGGTAGAACGATGGCCCACGGACTCGACTTTGACGGCGTTCTTTTGGTCAGTGAATGTCAGCGAAGCCGCGGTGAGGCGATTGGGGTCAGACACGTCATTAAAAGAGATCTTGTCAGCGATGACTTGGAAGCGACCGGAGATGGTGAAGGTGATGTACTCAAGGAGAAAGGCCTGACTTCGGGCCTCAGGGTTAATGGTGTCGAGGTATTCAGAAGGGCGGAGGAGCCAGAAGAAGGCGCAGATGCGAAGTCCGTTTTTGTGTTGGCTTGACTGTTCTACGAACGGGGTCAAGTGTCCGTGTGACAGTGCATTTCTTGGGAGGATGGAAGATGTTGCAGGGTCGGTCGGGGTTTCCGTCGGCCGCTCATGAGTCCTTTGTAGTAACAGTGAGTATGGGATTGGAGGTATATTTCTATTGACTCGTGTTATTATCTCTAGGTTCGTGTTCGTTGTAATCTGATCATCAGCGGAGACTTTTTAGGTGCGTGTATGGGTGGTCCGTGTCATAGTTCATGCACTCTCGGACGCAGTAAGATATCGTGATTTTGTGTCTTGTTCAGCTCTTATTCTATAATCAGATTACTTCCCCAATAGAGAGTCTCAGTATCTAGCAACAAGCACTGGAAACGCAAATGTGTCATCCTCGAAGTTGATAGCTAAGTATACCTCGACGACTGATAAGTCACTCATGGGTCTGTATCCTAGGTACTATCAATTTGTTAAGCTGACAATTTTCGTGTCGCTGATATGACGGACCTGTAGCGTGCGTAATAAAGGTACCAAAAGGCTCTCACAAGGAAAGATTGTGATTGGCGCTTGGTCGATCTTGATTCCATATGCTTTCAAGCAGGAGGAATCACAAGGTGACGGCAATTTTTCGTCACAGTTTCCGGCCGGACGTGTGTTATTCAGTCTGCTATTTTGGTATCGTTGAATCATCGAGCACGTTGGTGGTTTTTAAGAGGGGTTACGTGCTGGAACCAAGTAAATCCGTCTGTTATCCAGTGATTTATCTTCAATCGCGCGAAATCAGGAGTTCGATCTGTATCGTACGAGCGAAAGTCACAGTTTTGCCGATTACCTTATGGTTGCTCCGTTTGGCGTAGGATGTCTGCAAGGTCCGTCTGGATCAATGTCGTGAGAGGAAGTTTTGCGCGAACATCGACGACAGGCTGGGCTTCCTTGAAGTCTAACTCCTAGGTCGAGATTCGTGGTAGGTTGATCGAGTATTCTTTATTGTGGTGTGTGTCTTGGGTTTGAGGGTATCTGAGGTAATTTGTTTTCTTTTATGTTGGGGTTGGTGGGTAACACTCTGGTTATGGATGCTGAGCTCTTGTTGTGTTGTTCAAGCTATGTTTGACATCTCATACCACTTCGCTCTTGTGCGATCTGTACCAGCATACCAGACTTAAGAGCTTGCAGATGTTGGCAACTAAGAGAACCAACGTTTGAGTTCTGCTACTTACCTCAAAGGTCGCAAAGAAGATACCACGTTTACTGGTGGTGCTGTCATAGACGGAGAGGCTACCGCCCAATAGAGGTTGCACAGTGCAATTTAGGCTATCGCAACAGCTTTTAAGGCACTACCCGAGTGTAGTGCCGTCGTACGTCATCCTGCGGAGATCCCACTAAGAATCGCAGTTCACCAGAGAAGGAAGCTATGTTCCGAGAAGAGAGTCACAGAGTGCTTCCACCAGCCATTCGGCTAGACCATGAGATTCCAAGTAAGAGGTGGTCGTGGTGGGGGAAGATACCCTTCTGGGGGGGATCATTTCTATGGGCGTTCTGGAAGAGGTCAAGACGCAGCTACAGGGAACCAGCGACGATGAGTGTCGACGGGCGTCAGTTTTGCCTCTTCCATTCAATGGATGTGTGGCTGATTTTTGATCGTTGGTTGTTTCTTGTGTGAGGGAGGATCCTGGCACACAGCGAGTTGCATTGGTGTGTAGTATGAGTGATAGTTTTTCGCGATGTCAGTTGTGGTATTGGACTCTGCGTCTCTTTGGATCCGCCTTCATCAATGTTACGCTGTGGTGGTAGTGGCTGGGGAGCTTTGTTCGTCTGCGCTTCGGAGGGTGGTTCGTTTAACAGTAGCACCAGATAACAGGACTTGGCCTGTTCAGTCAAATGTTGTTGTTGGTGTAGTTGTTTGGGTTTGAGTCGGGTGGAGTGGGTGGCTTGTTACTTCTTTGGTTGTTGCTGGGTGGGGGCCCTTGGCCAGTTCGTTTTCAGGAGCTGGTGAGCTTCTTTTTGTTGTTGTTGTCTTTGTGGTGGGGGGAAGCGTCTGATTGCTACTCTAGACTGCTCTGCCTTGACTAGTGGGCCTTGTACTCGGAATGGGATTGGTATTTCAACTGGCTGCTTGAGTTCAAAGGGTTATTCAGGTTCTCGAGGTTGCAACTTTTCGTACTATTTTCTTCTACGGTAGAAGGAACGATTGGACTTGTTCTCTGTGGCTGCTCTTCTGGTCGAGTTAGCGCTGGTTGGGTTTGGGTATGGCCGATGCTTTTGGGTCTGTAGTCCATGAGGGAAGTCCCAGAGATCTCTCGATCCTAATGGTTTATTCTGGTCTCGCTTCGTAGTGGTAGTTGGCTGC